TTTTTTCCCTGCAAGACACTCTGCGCCACCTGGACGAACGGGTCAAAGAGATCGCCTCTGTTGCAATCGTTGGTTTATTGTGCTCAGGAAATATGGACCGAGAGATCTTAATTTTAACTTGCTGTCGATTTGAATGCAATTTATAAATTTTATCTACAAAGGACAAATGACTTTGATATGGATACTGAAAGTCCTTCAATTTCCAAAACGCCGTGCATCCATTAACGACAATTAGAACTATGGAATCTTTTTTTATTAAAATATGTGTGAAGCATTTGCAGGATCTTTGTACATAAAGATATTTAGTTAATTTTCCTTCAGTTTCAATTAAAATCAATATGCAGAGAAGATCATTAAAATCGAAGAAATTTATTAAATGGTTTTATCTCACTATTCCCGTTCAGTAAGTCACTAAACAGATTATTTCGGTAGCCTATTAAAAAGCCTATGTGTAATATAAAATAAACGGTAACATTTAGATATCAAAACTCGAAAACGGGTTTATGGATTGCACTTCCATCAAATTTTGGATTGGAAGTAGCTTAGTGATAGAACGAATATTGCTAAAATATCCAAGGAAATTAATTATTTGCTTTAAAAAGGGTAAAATGCGCTCTAGACATGCATGTCCTGAAGGCTTTTTAAATCGCAGACAACAAGTTTCATCTGATCATGCCCCCAACATGTGCTATGCTAAAATAGGTACTTCCGGTAAAAAACAGGAATGAAAATCAGCAAATTCTGCGTTCCCTCAGCAACGTTTTATTTCAAAACATTTGAATAATGTAATTGGATCTTAATATAACCGTAATTGGTAGTTAAAATCTATGGGGTGGCATGAGAATGATTGAATGTTACGCTCACCAAATGCGCTGGCGTGCAAATAGCACTTTCCACACTGAAAATTGCCAACAAAATTATACCTACTAAGTCATCATATCTCTGAAATATGTGCTTTTAATTTCAAATAAGAATTTTATTGTCCCCTTTGAAAATAATATTGAACAAAGTTTTATTTAATTTGAAAGTTATCAGGAAAACATATAAGCACACATACATGCACGAGAAGTACCTATTATGGCAACGTAAACATTTTGGACGCCTGTTGCCTATGGTAAGATTGGTTTCAAAAGAAGAGACCTTTCTTCAATGAAAACAAACTTCATACACTGTCACTCCAAATTAACAATTACAAGAAACAAGCGTCTGGAATATCTTATAATTTCTTTAAAACCACAGAGCAATAAAGAAAGAAAAAACACCAAGTGAAAATTTGGAACATAAATAATATTTTATTTCCACAAGCACGTATGCAAATAAATAGTGTCAATTTTAATTCAAAACACATTATTTGTACATGTAATAGTATGACATCGCTTCTCTCTCTTTTTCTAATAAATTAACTCTTATTAACATATTACATTTGATACGATATAATATCCCTCGCATTACACCAAGAGAGTAGACTTTTATCTCATTATTGAGAGATTTTCAAAAAAAAGTTTGTTGTTGCCAAGTTATTTATAATCACCAAAACGACAGAATCATATTCAATACAACAAGCATTCAGCAGCAAAATGTGCACTTCTTATTTCAAAGAATCCTGCAACAAAACCATAACCTCGACAACAAGACAAAAACTCCATCCATGTTTGCAACAAAAATGTGAGGCATTAGCTCTGTTGAAATTGGACAAAAAATAATTCTTAAACGATATGGAGTCATTTTAATGCATGCACATTATGAAGATTCTGATTCAAGTGTTGATTGTAATTTATCTGGTGGGCCCACAGCATGTTTTCCAAGCAAGTTATCGTAATTATTCCATTCAACCACGATTATAGTGAACAGCAAAAGTCACAGTACTTCTTAAGTCTGGCGCAATAAAATCAACACTACCGAACCAGGGAATTCTTAATGTGGATGCCTTAAACTGACTATAAATTGGCTCCAACGTGACTTAAACCAGACCCTTGTCACATCGAGCAGTACACATAACTGTACCGGTCCACTTCGTCGTGCCCTTGCCTATAATTACGATACAGAGGGCTTTATTGCCCTTCGCAGACTCGACAAACGCTCGCCTCCAGTTGTATATTTAAGTAAATTAATTGGCAGAGTCGAGTTTAGGGTTCTGTTAAGTCGACTTTCTTGCAAAATAGCCAGTCAATGAAGTTGTCTATCTCTCAAAATGGACCAGTCCAGTTCCGTATGCCACTCGATGAGGAAAGGGTCTAAGTCGAGATTACTGAGCCAAAGAGACTGTAGGTCTCATTACCTTAGCTAGCTATTATGGGGATTGCGAGGTTTCTGGACAGATTCCAGAGCGTGGATTAATGTATGCAGGTTTCTCACTCTACAAAAAATGAGAAAATCCCATTTAGTGTAAGAAATCAATATAGCAATGATCATAATTATTAAATATATTAGATATAGTTTTTAAATCTGTTATTGGACCTAAACTGGACATAATTGTAAAACCAGTTACAGATCTACAGAAGACTTATTGTGAAACAAGACCAGATGACTAACCTACACACAATGAAGTGAAATAAAATATGCTTGGCTTCACATTAAGGAAATATACGATATGTGTGTAATATACTTTATCACAAAAAGTTACCTTAAATTATAAAGGAGAAAAGTTTACATCTTTCTGAAGATGACATAGCTTTTTTGTAAATGAGCACTGCCATTTTTTTCTTTAAACCACACATTTTGGTGTAAATTAGAGCTTAATGCATAGATGATGGCCACTTTTCTAAACTTGGTGCACATATAGCTTAATATAGGGTAATGGCACTACTTAAATTGTGAGATGGAAGAACTGGCAGGTCCAGGAAAGTAATATTTTATAATTAGGTTATCGCTAGCTTCTTATGTTTAACCATATATATCAACTGTTATCTATTTTTACCAGAATGTCCCAGAGAGTTTTACTGCCAACAAAGTACAGTAAGATAATGACCCCTTTAAATGAAGACACCAATTGACATAATAGAAAGAATGATGTGTCTGGCTTTTAAATTACTCTTAATTTAAAAACATAAAATGGTGTGTCTGGCTTTTAACTTACTCCTAATCTAAATCAATCCAAGAGCCCATCCAGAGCAGGCCTGTAGCCAGGGGGGGTTCGGGGGGTTTGAAAGAACCGCCCGTTTTGCTGGGAAAAGGTCCACTCTGGGTTAAATTTGATCTTGTTACATGAAGTTTTTATGGGGAAAAGGTCCACTTTTTCAGAAAAAGAACCCCCCTTTTAAAAAAATTTAAAATTGCTGGCTACGGGCCTGCAGAGGAAGGGGCTGGGTTACCCTGTTTCTGGCCAATTCCTAGCATAGAGTCATTTTGAATTTTTTCAGCCAAATTTCTGATCAAAAAAGGTTTAAATTCAGTTTCAAGCTAATTTCCAATGTAAAATCATTTGAACAAGTTTATTCCTGTTTTAAAACTGATTTAGGCTAATTTCAGATTAATTTACAGTTTCCAATTTTTTCATTGACAAGCTTACGTCTAACATAACCCAGTATCTTTTACTCAATGAATGCCTTTGCTCTGGAAAACTGAATGTAGCAGCAATTATTCTGACAATGACATGACACGATGACGAAGAGAAACAGACACTGCAGGAAGATGGAAGATAACTTTCCACAAACAAACCTACCAGTCCATCTAAATCTACATGTTAAAATGTGCAATGAATAACATGAAAGCAGCAGTCTTTACAGAACATGTACAGGAATAACCCATCCCCCCATTTGAACACGTACATATGAATACATACATACATAACTATATTTTTACGGCTAACATATATATCTGTAATACTATCTTCTACAAAAGGTATGTATGGTTTATGGTTATTTCATCTAATTTAAAACTCTGCATTTGTGTTACTTCAGTACTTTTACAAATTTATAGCATTTTACAGCTTTTTGCAGTTCAGAAGCAATGATGTTCATATATGAACTCTAAAAAAAGACACTTATCTGAAATCTACATTTTTCAAATCTAATAATTTCCACAACTAACAATTATGCTACGTAAAGATGGCAAAACACCATACACGTTCGTACATATAAAAATGGAGACTATGCCTATTACCATATACTTATAGCTGTTGACAGAATTAAAAAGTGCCACATGTAGTTCAAACTCTTACCTCAAAACACTGCAGTTTTCCTCAATAAACAAAATTATTATGCCTTTAAAGGTTTGCCATCAGCTTCTGTATATCATGGTTATATATATGTTAGTCCTTCCATTATTTTGCATGTCAAAAACCCCAATGGAATCTGATGAGAGCCATAATTACTATGAACTATACATTACTAATACTGCCACAGATATTTATGTCTGTTTTGGTTCTGATAGCAATGCGTGTTGTCAAGCCATAAATTTTCCTTCCATTTATCATTGTTGGAAATCCATTTATCTCCTTCAGTTTAGACGACAGCATTGTTTGATAAATATTGACCTAGGAAGTTGGTTCATCATCAGTGGAGGCTTTGAGAGCTTCGACTAAATGACATCATTATTTTTGATTTTCACTTTTCTCTTCATGAAATTTGTCTTTCAGTTATCATTTATCAACATCACAGAAAGTGATACATTGCTCCTAGTGACATTAGCCTTACCCAACAGAGAAAAATACTCTCTCTCGACAGTTTCATAAATAAAGCATGCATACTGCAATACTTCAGAGTTTATGAAACACGCTATGGGAATCTAGACAAAAATGTGTCATCAGTATTATATCACTATGTCATATCCCTTTATATGTATAATCTTTATGCTTTAATATGTACAATATATTCAAATTAATTCACATTTATCAATTGATCTTAAAACATTAACGTTTATGCAAGCGATAATTTTTATTTCTGTATTGATATACAGTATGATCCTTATTTTATATGTTAAAGTCACATGATATTTACAGTTTCATAATACAGATACACATATTGAATGGATTACATATTAACTTAGACGTAAAAATTACATTACATTTCTCCAAATATGCCAGCAAAGGTTTTTCTTAGATTCTTCATGGTGTCATCAGTGTCCTCCAAATCTCTGAGGACTTCTTCCTCTGTCATCTTGGGTCTCTGGTTGTTGGCCATGGCCTGGGGGTGGGGGTGGGGTGTCTGTCCCTGGGGTGGCTGTGGAGGTGGGGGTCTGAAATGGGGGTGTGAAATGATTCATTCAATACACATCTACTTTTTACACCAAGAATGTTAATTCTTGTCAGTTTTTATCTTTACTGAATTGTTGTACATATTCCCAACTGATTGCCCTGGGTTTCAAAACTTTCTGGAAACTCTGAAACCTCATTTACTATACTGAAGATGTGAAACTCAGGGTACTGTCACTAAACACTTAACAGTCATTCATTTTTACAGATTTATCTTTTATGCATTCTATTTTAATGGCATTAAGAAGGCATAATAACACTTATTCCAATATATCATTTTTATAATATTAAAATATATCACAAATACTTCATTGTAGAAATAAGAATAAATTTTGTTATTCAAATTTTATTACAATTTTTGTATATAAAAACACCTTCTGAGCAGTAAAGACAAAAGAATGATGCAGACAATTTTCATAAAATTTACCTTGGCTGATGTTGTTGCTGCATCTGTTGCTGTTGCTGCATTTGTTGCTGTTGTTGCATGGATTGTTGTTGCTGGTGTTGTTGCTGTTGCAGAGATTGTGGCACTTGCGCTGGGCTAGGCTTTGGCGGGCTGACGTCAGGTTTCCCATTGATAGCATAATGATAGAGGGCACTGGTGCTGGGGGTTCGATGCACAGAATTGTTCACTGGCCGACAATGAATTTGCAGCTTTTGGAGAACTAGGTCAGCAATGAGTTTTCTATCCTCCTCTTGGGACTCGCCAAGCAGGTTCATGGAAGAATCATTCACCTTAAAATAATAATAAATCACATGTTCAGTGAAATTTATACATTTTTCTTGTCTCTAAAGATCATGGTAGAAATGTAAATCCTTTCTAAACATGCTGGGTCGATATGTCTAATGCCATCCAGTCCCTTTAGAAATGACGTTTTTACCAAATCACTTTGTATTAATTGCCTCTCACATCTCTGATTATACTACTGTTTCAGGTTTTGCCCAGTCACCCTTTCGAATTTGAGTTAAACTATGCCTAGTTATCAACCCAAATGCTGGTCTGTCCTATCGAAACTTACCTCTATGATAATATCAATACCTACCTCAATTATGTATTCTTTCCCATCTTTGCCCTGAATTCCTTCCACGGCTAGGATGTCCAAACCTCCAAATAACTGGCTGCATTCATCCACCCATAGTTTGAACCTAATAACACATATGGACATATATCAAACTGATCAATTAGCCACAGTTCACTAATAAGGCTGTCCTAATATGGGGTTGATTGTAGAATACTATATATCACAATCTCTGAAACAATGGCAATCTTCTCCATTTCAATCTCCTCTATCGCAATTTGCCAGTACAACCTGTATTGATAAAGTATTAATGTACAGGTTGATGTGAAAAGAGCCTAAACAAAATTGTTTACCAAACTCTGCCTTTCAGAACTGGACCAATTATTTTATATAAGTTAGAGAGTTTTATCAGATGGACTTCAACTTACTTGTCATTCATGGCAATCTGTTCCAGCATGGCTGAACCTGTGTTGGCTTTCCAGTTACCTGAGATAGACTTCCTCCTGGATACAACAACAACAGTGACATACATGTAGATGAGATAATATTATTATATAAAACTTAATAAAACAATTGTTACTAAATTTATTTTTATTTATAAAAACTTTTAAATACATTTGGTCATTTTCAGTTTCATATACATTAAGTCAAATCTAATGTAAATGTATATAAGTCTGCACATGTACCCCTCCATAATATCCTTCCCATCCATATTCTATTTTATCACTTCATATCATATGAAAAATTTACAACTTACTACTGTAGTTCTAGTAGGTACAACTCATGTGAACTTTTTGAAATTTTAATTCATTAAAAATAAAGTCTGAACTAGAGACGTCAACAAGTTTTACAGGATAAAAAAGATGTAACAGAGCTAGTCTAGATTAAATAGAGAGAAAAGAAAGGGCATCCTCACATGTATGCCTTGTAATTATTTCCTATTTTCTGTACATGGATGTCATATTTGCCATCTATGTAGGGCTCGGTGGTGGAGTAACAGTTGGTGACAGCTACCACACTAGCCACATCTTGGTAGTCATAGTGATTTTCACATTTAATCTATAACAACAGGTGTTCACTTAAAACAAGGAAGTTAAGATCGCTAATGATTTTCAAATTCAGTCTAAAATAACAGGACATGTTTAAGTAAAACAAGGAAGTTTAATTCCCATCTACTTTCTTTGTTTAAATAAAGAAATTCAACTAATTTAATATTTTTTGGTTTACTGACTTTCAAGTTTGGTCTGAAAATTAATGATAACAGTAATATGTAATTTCAAATAAAAACATGACACTTTTTACAAATTAAACAGGAACTTGAGAAAAAAGGTATAAGTTTAATAGTCTTGATTAATGAATAATAGTAAATTTTTCATCTATGACTTGTTCATCAATTTTTTTACAAATTAGTCAAATATACAATGTATCATGTATGTACCCTGTATAAGACATATCTTTTTTTTTGCAAAATCTGCATCTTACAACTACATTTCTTAACAAAAAGTTCTGTTCTCTCTCTCTGTCTTTCTATATAATTCTTCTAAGATTAAAATATATTAGTTACAGAAAAAATATGCACATGAATATCAAATTCTACAGTGTAAATATTCAAACTCAGTACTTACTTTCCCTACTCCTTGGTGAGCATGTCCTATTTTTACTACCACAGGAAATTTGGGGGTCACCAGCTGAAATGAACAGACAAATCTTTAATATTAACATTATGAAAAATAAATCCATTTGAAACATTGCCAGTTTGACATTTAGACATGCTGCAACATGAAAAGCAATCAAATGATTAAAAAAGTTGATGAATTAAAATAGAATAAGATGATAACAAAACATGAAAAATTTCATATACATATAGTGGATGGTTTATGGCATTCATACAGTTCTACTGAAAAGAATTCTTGTAATATTTTACTATGGCAAGTCTAGAACTATATCAAACCAAATATATCTTAATTGAAATCAAAGAAATTGCAATTCAATACTCTGTTCATTTATTATGAGGCAACAGTATCTGAACTGTATCACATATTTTAACCATTTACAACAACAATATTCATGCTTCACGCATTATATTAACTAACTCTAAATGAATATTTTCATTACTTATAAAAATTATTATTATTATTATTATTATTATTATTATTATTATTATTATATGCACATTAATTTCAGGGGTTTAGGTTGTTCATCATACACTCCAACATTGATCAATGACATACACATAATAATCATAAAAAATTGCACTGTCTTTGATGTATGTTTTTTACAATTGTATGCACAAATGATTCTGNTTATTATTATTATTATTATTATATGCACATTAATTTCAGGGGTTTAGGTTGTTCATCATACACTCCAACATTGATCAATGACATACACATAATAATCATAAAAAATTGCACTGTCTTTGATGTATGTTTTTTTACAATTGTATGCACAAATGATTCTGTATATCAACCAAGTGGAGCTTATGCATATCCATCATCAACATTACCTTAAACCATAAAAAATAACTTCCTGTGACTTTGGAGGAAAAGTAATTAAATCTAAAAATGGACCAGTGATTTAAATCCCACACCTCTAAGGGTATCAACCTCCAAAATACTCTTCCAGAGTTCTAGTACTCCCGTATCTACCTGCTCTGTGCTGGTGACTCACTCGCCTCTTTCCAAAACACACACATTTAAAACAGAAGCTTCACCCTAGTACATGGACTACATGTTGTAATTTCATTACATTTTTGGATCTCTGACTCACTGAGGCCGAAGCTACCAATTTCATGACCTTTCACGATTTGTACTGGTTGTTCTAAAATACACCAGGATAAAAACTGAAAAAAGACTTTACTGTGTCCATATTTTGGTGCCATGTACTAAATTCATATCCATACTGAATATACACCAACTAGCCCTTAGTTTTTTTTTTTTTTTTTTTTTTTTTAAACCTTAAATCTGTTATTATAAGGAGCAAATATAGCACAAGTAAGGGGGCTCCTCTACTGGAGTATTGTGGGACTTTTTCTCGTATATTTGTCATTGGGCCCTAATATTCTTAAAGGTCTCTCAGATCTTGCTAATGGAATGGATCCTTTGTGTGATTAGATATTACTTAATATATTACATGATTTTCTCAGTCTTTGGGCTAATTATAATCTACAGGTATTGGATAAGTAGACAGACTCAGTGCTTACTGCTTAAAAGTATGTTTCATCCTTGTTAAACAAGCAGAAATGGAACTTAAGAAAAAAATAATATAGCTTGAAAAATGCAAGTACAAAAGATGCTCAGCTCTATATGGGGCTCTGGGGGGGGGGGGGATAAATACAACAGCCTATTAATAAGGAAATTGTTATTCCTTAAAAGGAATGTACCCAGTGTGAGGAATGCATGTAACCATTTATTCTGCTTATTTTAAAAGAAAAAAGTGGAATTAGAGTGATTGTGGGTAAATGCCATAAATTTGTCAATGATGCAATTGAAAACTGCTCATCATGTATTTCATGCTACTACTAACAAGGCTCAGATACCATTATAGAAATATGATACTGTGAAAATTTACAGATATTTGCCTGGATACTGGACAGTTTTCATTCAAAAAGAAAGAGCAGGAAGCAGAAAGATTTTGTGTTCCTTTGCAACTCTCCCACCACCATCATGCAACATTTGGTTTGCGTAGTTCCAGGGCGGAGTAAAAAATCTATCATAAAACTAAACTTCCTTTACTGCTTACATCCGAGGATGAGCAAACTTAAAAAGGATGACATGTATGTAGACATTAAACAATGTGTTTATGCCTAAATTCCTACAGAATTTAGATATGACTTCCATCAATAAATCAAACTGTTTGTAGCCTCGCCCACTGGCCACTCATTAGTGCTACGTAGTTTAGGAATTTTCCTCCCCAGAAAATCTGGTCGATGTCCAGAAAAGCACACAGAATGTTTAAATAATATCTTTTCTTTTATGAGTAAGTTTAAATTTTGGCAAAATTAACGGTGACAAACAAATATCAACTGCACATGTGGGTGTCTCATAAATGATGTAAAATTCCATTATTCAGAAATATTATGAACTGAACTTAATTGGGTCCAATTAAAATCTCTTCAACGGTGAGTAAGATATTACAGCACATCAAACAATAAAATACTGAGGCCAACATCTGTGAAATCTTAACCTTTCTCTTTAAACGTAAAAGGTCAGCTAAAAATAAGGTGGCAGAGGCTGAAAAACACAACCATTAAAAATTTGGACAATTATGACTAATAGTACAGGACATTATCAAATGTAACAGCTGTATTTGGCTGTGTGTAGTCAATGAGAGAGAATTTTTTAAAAATAGATACGTAAAATAAAAAGAAATGCTAGAAATCTGTATAAATAATACATTTATAATATCATAAGTAGGTGTAAGTACAATATTTAGCCCATGAGGCCAACAAAAGCATTCTGAACAAGAAAAAAAAAACTCTTCTTACCAATTCAAATATCTTATTTACTTAGTCTGTTAAGACATTGGGGTAAATTTTTGGTATCAAAATAGGGAAGTGGCAGTTTGCATTGATAGGTTTTGTATGCTACCAGTATCTCACTTGATGAAGAATTTCTTAATAGAAGCCTTAAATCAAGAAAGAGGGTAAGGAATTAATATGAGATGCCAAAATAAAAAAAGATGAATAATATTAAAATATGCCTTTGGTTAACATATTTAGAATGACTGAACAAGGGCCAGGGAATTTGACTAGAATAAAAAAGTATATTTATGTAGAAAACAAGATCAAAATCCAATTCAAAGACCATTTCTTGCCAATATTTCTTCCTCTATTCCTGTCAGTTAATTAACATTAACAGTAATTTCTTTACCCCACTTAGTGGTAACTACACATGTGATAAGGTAATAAAAATTGGCCTTAAAAATGAGTAATTCTGACTAATCTTACAGTAGCTGACTAAAATATTCTGGCAATGCGACTACCACTGAAGGTATTGGGGTATTAGGTCAGGACTTTTTTCTGTCATCTGTTAATACTGAACTAATATGATTGGTTCATAAGTCTGGCCTGATTAGAATGTTGTGGTAAAGGAATTCAACATTTCCTTTTTATAAAAAGTTCTTTTTTTCTAACATGTGAACATTTTAAAAGTGAAATATTCATTCAAGCAAAATTCCCATGTGTATTTTTTTGTCCAAATTTGAAACTAAAATAAGATGATTCAACATTTCCATCTAACACATAATGGGCAAAGTGGTATATTTTTCTATTATACACACAGTGGTTATCTTTTTCTACACAATCCACACACTTATATACCCAAACATCCCTTATATAATTTCTTAAAATTTAAAACCAAAATGGTTGAAGGTGGAAGATCACTCAACATTTCCACCTTACAAATAAAATGTATGTCTAACATCAGTACGTGTAACCATACTTAAGAATTTGCATGTACAACATAAATTTACTAAATCACCGATTAAGGTGTTTTAGACCAGATTGTATTAAGCTAAAAGTAATAGTACTTTGTTCTCCCATTTTCTTTATGTAGTTGTCCAGATCTAAGGTAAGATTATATATCAAATTCCACTTGTTTCCAATTAACAGGACATTCAAACCGATCCATTTTATGGACGTTGTTAGAAAATCACTTCAGTAATGAAATTAAATATCAATTGTCCAGTTATCAGCAATTTCCTGCAGGCATACATACTGATCTACTAACCAGATAATTTTCCAACAACTTGGAGTCAGAATAGAAAGGTACCAATCTTCTCTTTCCTGGCTGTTTCTAGGAAATATTCACCAACCATCCTGGACTGTTTTACATTGAATTAACCTTTATAAACAAAGTGTCCTGCAAGCAACCTAAGTCCAAAAACAGGTTCATCATTATAAAATAACTAAAACAGTTCCCAAATCCTTAGAGTACATATACATGTAGCAGGCACATGTTGGGAACTAAATAATACAAATAGTATACCCTGGCAAAAGAAAATTAAATAAAAAATATCAAAGACAAAGTGAAAGAGGTTTTCCTGAGTGAATTTACTGAGTTGAAACTATAAAAAGGGCTCTGCAGTTTGTATTTAATATTTTCTCTAGGTTGTGGTAATTATCCAGTTGCCTTCTACACAAACCACTTCTACACAGATTTAAAAAAAAAAAAAACAAAACATTCACTCACTACAGGTGGATTTCTGCTGGGCTGGCAACATTCACTCATCACAAATAATGACATAGTTTATGTCTGCATGCAAGGGATGGAGAGTTTGAAAGTGCAGCTCTTTTGGCTGGAAAATAGTTCTCTCTGAATCAAAATTCAATCTAGGTTCTATGTGTGTCATTTATCAAGTGGATTCAACTTAAAGGGTAAAAAGTCCACTTTTTCAAAAAAAAAAAAAAAAAAAAATGAACTAATGGTGTGGAATTTAAGGACAGGTGGGCAGAATAGTAGATGATGATGAAAATATCTCACGCAACAACATGCACACATGTAAAGGAAAGAAGTACAGGTGAATGGACCTATCCTATCAAATACCAGGACACAGTTCACTACCAAGGATTGTACCTACAATATCACAGTCACTGCAATGACCCCCCCCCCCCCCCCCCCCGGCCCATTATATGACCTTGTTGCCAGGTAAACTGGAACCTGGTCAAGTCTTTTAGCAACTGTTTCCT